GAACTGCCTCCACTATTGCCGAAAGGCGGCAGTGACACCCTACAACTCGTTCAGTCTCTGCTCAACACTATTTAGAACGAAAAAGTAATGTTTTTTCACTAACGTTTTTCAACCATTTCTTGTTCGTAACAAGAGTCAGATGACGTCTCGTAAAAAACGCCATAGCATTAGTTCTCGTCTCCATTGCCTGAAAACTAGTCACAGGCGTCGTCCTACTGCGACCCATTGTCTTTGTGATTACGCGCTCAGTTAACCTTGGATTGACTTCCACACTGGAAGAGAGCGCGTCGACTACATTTTGGAGCTACACCAGGTGCTTGATCATCATAGCTACATGCAAACCATCGCGGTGTTCCTTCCTTTGCTTGAAGACCGCCTTTGGTCCAATCGATTGTAGTGTTGTTGGCGATGTGCAGCTTTGAAAGGTATATCTGAGAAGGATCTAGGGGCACACATTTCCTGGAGCTTGTTAAGACTACTCCATCTCTCCGATTCCATTCAACTTCGTGACCGCATTGACGATCAGCGCCTCTCTCCACTTCCTCTGAACATACATCATGTTAGATGACCGGCTATGAAACTTAGGGTGCGCAGAAGATCTAACTCTCTATAGGCCGGACCCGGCTGCTATGCAGCCTCTGATATATAGGCTGGTGCGTAGCGCATCACACTTTGGCATGTGAATTGCAGTGTCCCACTCTTTAACTTTCTGCCACAATGATGGGTTGGCACTCTGCTAGCTCTCACCTTCACAATACGGTTACTGTAGGCGGCGGGGGGGGGATGCCATCCGTTTACTTATCACGGTAGCTATAACATCCGTCAGCAACATCACTGAACACATCGTTACAGCCACCGGCAAGATTGGTGTTTCATCACAGATACAGACGGTGAGCCACAGGTTATCGGTTATAGTATGTTTAATTCTGATTTGCTGATTTGATCTGACTTCGCTATCGACTCAGTCTGTGTCGTGCAGTAAGAGAACAGGAGAGGAGCCAGCTTAGTTTGTAGAGTTCCATGAGTCTGCTTGAAGAGACCTTGCTTAACAGTCTTGACTGCACGTTCTGCCATTCCATTCGACGCGGGACTGTACGGCGCAGACTCAATGTGCTGTATTCCGTTGTTACTCAGGAACTGTTGAAACTCTTCACTGATAAATGGTGTCTCGTTGTCGGTGCGTACCGTCTCTGGGATACCGAAAATGACGAATATGGAGCACATTTTTGCAACTGTTACTGCGGAAGTCGCATGTGAAACTGGATGTGCTTCTATCCATTTAGAATGGGCATCAATCAAAAGTAGGCAAATCAACCCATTGATTGAGCCAAAGCACTTGGCATGCACCCCCATGCCAGAGCCTCTCTGGCCAACGCGATGGACGTATCGGTCCGGGAGACTTTTGCCTTTGGTATTTCTGACATTGTTCGTAGTTTTTCAGCAGCCGTTCTATATCTTGGTCAATGTTCGGCCACCAACAGCAACCACATGTCAGCGCTTTCATCCTGTTCATGCCGGGGTGTGCGTCATACAACTCTCTCAGTAACTGGGGCCATAGTTCTTCTGGTGGAACTATGCGCGAGACTCGAAATATACAGCCATCGTATGCACTCAACTCATTACTCCGACAGTTGAATGGTTTCAATTTGTCTGACGTGCTTGTAGCCCATCTGGTCATCAAGCACCGTTTCACGCTCGACAACACAGGGTCCCGATCAGTCAAGCGCCGCACCACGTCACTTCGCATGGGTGCCTTTTCAAGGTGTTGCATCAAATTGGTAAATCCCACGGGTTCACTATTCGTTTTTGTGCCATGCTGCTGCGGGAGGCGACTAAGTGCATCGGCAATGGTATTACTTGGTCCATTTACATACTGAAGTTGGTAGTTATAGGCACTCAAAACTAGTGCCCATCTTTGCATTCGAAGCGGAGACATGTGTTAGATTCTTTTCTCCTCACCCAGAAGCGAAGGAAGTGGTTTATGGTCGGTGTGGATATCAAACTCTCTTCCCCAGACGTACTGTTGGAAATGCTTGACTCCGAAAATAATCGCTAACGCCTCTCTGTCCATTTGGAAGTAATTCCTTTGAGTGGGTTGCAGGGTGCAAGAAGCAAAAGCGATTGGACGAAGAGAACCGTAAGCCATCCGGTGGCAAAGGACTGCGCCTACTCCCCGTGGGGAAGTATCACACTGCAGCACTGGAGGCCGGCTGGGATCAAAATGCACGAGATACGGGAGGCGCTGAGCACTCTTTCTGCATCTGTGAAGGTCTTTCTTTGATCCGGACCCCAAGTCCAGGACTTCCCCTTGTGCAACAGTTTGTACAAGGGTGCAAATACTGTTGAGGCGTTAGGTAAGAAGCGACGATAGTGAGAAAACATCCCTAAAAACGATCGGAGTTCAGCTTCATTCTTGGGTTTATGTGCGATAAGGATGGGCTTGCCTTTGTCTTCTAACACGTGTAATCCGTTTTTATCGAGGCGGTACTCAGATAACGGACGGAATCTGGGAAAAACGTACTCTTGGACTTCTTCACTTTGAGTCCACTCAGTTCTAGAGGTTCGAGCACAGTGGATAGCGTTTTTAAGTGTTCAACATCTGTACGTCCTGTAAGTAGAGTGTCGTCAAGATAGGCGCAAGTGAAAGGAAGATCTTTGATCAGGTTGCCATTGATCCTTTGGAACATCGTCGGGGTCGAACTGCTTCCGAAGACAGACGTTCGTACTGGAATAGACCCATATGAGTACTTATCGTAGTGCCTGAGCAAGAGGTCTCGTCTAACTCAGTTTGTAAGTACGCGTGACTGAGGTCGATCTGTGTAAACTTTTGTCCGCCTGCCAGTGTAGCATACAGATCCTTTATCTGAACTAAGGGATACTTATCCAACATTAAACAACGATTAACAATTAGTTTATAGTCACCACAAATACGCACAGAAACATCCGGCTTCAGGACTGGAGCTATTAGAGCTCCCCAATCACTGTATTGTACTGGATCGATTGTTCCTGCCGACTGCAATCACTTTATCTCGTCTTCCACCTTTGATCTCAGCGAATAAGGTAGGGTACGTGCCCTGAAAAAGCGCGGTTGAGTTCCCGGCCGTAATTTGATACTAGTCTGATATCCGTGCAATTTTCCTAGTTTCTCATCCAAAACGTTAGAATATTTGTTGGGTACATCCTCCAAGCGTTGGTTAATGGACATGAACTTCACTGTCTCTAGTTGCTTGTTCAGCCTTGCAAGCTTTCTTCTGAAGGTGCTTCTGGCTGCGAATATTGTCAACTACGGTTGATCTTCGAGATAGATCCACGTTCACTTCACACGATGAACAAAACAGTAGTTTTTTGTCTGGGTTGTCGACGTAGTATTCTCCAGGAAACTCCTTCACTCTGTCCAGGACAATTTTTTCCTCCTATATGCTGTTTCCTTTTCTGAGATGACATCTGCAAAAGGTAAGACTTGTTGATTATTGTAAGCAACAGATTCGCTTTGTTCTCGAGTAACGGATCAAACAAAAATAAAGCCGAGAATGAACTACGGTACTGTCCCAAGAAAGATGAAAATTCAGTATTGACAAACCGCGACAGTTACGAAGTACTCAAAGAGGGTACAGAGTAACGTTCTCACCGCTATACTGACAGATCAAGACTTCAGTCAGTGGGCGGATTTACACGGTCGCTTATATTGGGCTGCCGAGCTCAATGCAATGACGTGACCGCCGTTCAACGCCTAAGAGGCGATAGCGCATCAAGTTCGCGCGTGACCGTAATGGGGGACTTTGTGTGCCGGCAAGGTGTGTACAAAGTTTGAATGAACAGATGTCGAACAAATCTAATGTACATGTGGGCAAAGGGTGTTTGTATAGTGGAAAATAGAGTGAGTGCACAGCGTAAGCAGACAGATGGTACATGGTTGTGTACTGGATTGTCGCGTGCGTGTCACTTGGGTCTGGGGACAAGCAGACTTGGATAGCAGATGGTGGACAGATGGCGGTGATGATACTCCGGAGGAATGTTCCAATAACCAGCTGGCTGCTCTGATATTTCTTCGGAATACAAATATATTGATTAAGACAAAAACAAATTTGAAGTAGCATTCTTTGTTAGTTTCTTTTTTTCTGCGATTCCGCGAAATTTTTCAGTTTCCGCGACAGCAAATTCCGCGATTTTTATGTTTCGCGGAATCGCAGAAAATTGGAGTCTTTAGTCATGATTTTTGGATCCCTGTTAGATGTCTCGGCGTATATCGTCTGATTTGTCTAACCCCTGGGAACGTCAGCCAATGAGCTGGCGAGGACACGGAGTTGGCGGGAGAATTTGTTCACTCAGATCTGCTCCTGCTTACTGGATTAGGTCTAGTTGATCAGCCACATCCGTAATCAGAGAGTTGTTCTGATATGGCGCGGTTGCGGACCCAACGGTGTTCGTTGCGCTGACTCTGAATCCATCCTCTCCACGGCTTTAATCTTGAATGGCATTTGTAGTATTTTTGTATTATTCACTGTTTTACTTGTTTTTATGGTGGCTCGAATCAAGGCCCATCCATTTGCACGAATCATAGTTGGTTAATAGAACTAGTGTCAATGAGTGCTCTCAGTCACTGTACTGCAACGCCACTTTTACCGTCGCACTGCGTCACCATGCGTTGACGCACAGCCACTATCCCTTTCGGTGTGCTCACAACCATCTACGAAAGGAATCAGCCACTAGCTGATGAGAAGGGGATCCTGTCACCTGGCTATAAGTTTTTTATGCCACGGACATTCCCAAAGCTGAAACCATTTGACTCGTATCAATCACCGTGCATACCTACCCCGACATTGTTCACATGCGCATCTCCTACAAGTGAACTACTCATCATGAGACGTATCTGGTCTACGCAAATGGCAGTTTTGAAATGCGCTAGGTTTGGTTCGATCTGCCCGACACATTATGCTTGCATAGACTAAGTGAATCGTTTCGCAACACACTTATTTTTCCCGTGTTCCCTTCCACTTCAGGCAATCGATTCAGCGCGGTCTTTCCAATGTGGAGATTTCCCCGCCTACGTGGAACAGTTGTTCCTCAAGGGTATTCTCAGTGCTCACCGTCCGTGGTTGTTGAACTTTTGCGCTTGGTTTATCAATACGGTGGTGTTCGAGGTGGAAAATCGCTCGGACCATGTCAGTTTGCTTTGGGGTGACTTCAGGCTGCAGACCACCGCGGACGGCAAAATAGAGTACATCTACTTTTTGAATCGCATGAATAACCGACCCTATTATCTCGCAGCCGCACCACCTTCGCCTTACAGTCTGGGACTGGATGAGGAAACCGTTCGTCTGGTCGAGAATAAACCGTTGCCTGTTCGTTCCCCGTGTCCAGTCGCAGTGTTTAAGACGCTTCGAGAACGCCGGCCTGCTTTCTGTCTTCAACCAACGTCTAAATTTTATCTGCAGGTGAGCTTTTAGGTTGTGTCATAATGTACACCACAGCTTCTTTCAGTGGTTACTAAAATGAAGACTCACATTTTCCTATGAAAATTGAACAGGCTTTCGAACCTCATGCCATCACTTCAGGTCATCAGTTTCCTTTCTTGGACCGATGCGTTCTAGTTCGGCTTCAGTCCTCGACCACGAATTGTCCGGTCTCATTATAAGATTGGGCCGGTACAATTTGAAGAGGACGTTTCACTCTTATTGTCAAGAGTCATCGTTAACGCTTTACACCTGTCATTTTGCTACCATCATTCTGCGGTGGGCCAATAGTAGATACTACTGCGACAGGGGTCAGTAGTATGAGAGCAATAAGCGAAGCAGACACTGACGGGCCAAAAAGACACCAAACTGACATCGCGAGGGGAGAAGAATGCTCGCGGGCTGCAAACGGATTTGACTTGTAATGAAATACCAGAGCAGCGCTTTACAACGCTTCAAAGTGGAACGCATCGCGCAGCTTCCAATAGTACATTCGCAGCTGTGTTGGTGCTCAGACATAGTGCATTTGATGAATTTTCATTGCCAAAATAAACCGCGCTGTTCGCACTTCTTAGATTCTTACAGTTCTACATGTTAACAGGATGATGAATACCTAAACTACCGTGCCTCAAAACAGTGCTTTGAGCTATTCGAGAGCAAAAAACATAATAATCGCGCATTTTGTCAGAATTTTCTAGTTTTAATTTTATTCGAACACCGCTGCATTGTATTGCACTACAATAGTTGTGGTATTTCTCATCTCCAAAATGTGTCGTTTCGCCATGCTCATACGTGGTCGTTTTGATTCACCTTGGATGTCTCCGGCGTTCTCCGCAGTTCGGTGCAAACTTTATCATTTTTGGAATGCTTTAAGCGTAAGAACTTCATGCTCTGTTGCAATCAACTGTTCACCGCAACTATCCTCTTGGTTCAAATGCTGCGTACCGGGTCCTTGCTGCATCAGTTACTCGAGCCATAACCCTTTTTGTTGAAAAACAACAAATACCTACTCGTTGAAACAAGTTTACAGGAATGGGGGATATTTGTATCGATATTTTCCGGTCCACTCCCTAACCTCATTCATACCTGGAGGTTTTCTATCACCCGGCGGTTTTCGCAGACTCAAAAGCAGCACTCATGGGCTCTGTGACATCACTTACTGAGAACCTTCCTGCACTCGGGTTCAAATAAACTAACCCCTACATATGTTTGTGATGCCGATTGAGTTACGGTGGTGCCACACATCTCCGGGTGATGATTAAGTGGATAAATTAGTGCGATTAGTGAATACTAAGGACACGCCATATTTTGCATCAAATGAGACGAAGAGCATGTGTTTTTCAGTCAGCCCCCCCTCCCCCCACAGCTTCCAACCCCGTGCTACGCGGTCCGAATTGTCGATGACCCTGACGACCGATTGACAAGGTCGAATTTGTCCGCGCCGCTTGTGCATGGTGGGGAACACTGCAGTTTTGCTATCGACCAAGCGTCCCTCCCACATACCATTTATCTTCCTTATGGCTTCGATCGCCGCTCTGCTCGCAGTCACCAAGGTGGAAAGTCAGAGCAAATTGGTTTTCTTTGACACCTAGAGGCTGCTGTCGGTGTTTCGTTTGTCCAACAAAAAAGTTAATTCTACTCCGTTACGTTCTCGAAAGTTGACCTGCAACGACCTCTTGCGACACTCGTCCTTTCTATACCATTTCGCGGCCGGATTGTCCTCTTGGGCAACAGAAATAATCTGAGGGGGCATTCAACATGAGTCTACTCAATTAATTTGTTCTGTGCGTACGCCAGTCACTTGTGCAGATGTATAGGTGTGCGTGTTTAGCCCGTCGCTTTCAGCCAATTGGACCTCATGCGCACTAAGTCATAGGGGTGCAGGTGGGACGCTTCAGCTCCTACGCACGAAACAAATTCATTGAGTAGACTCATGTTGAATGCCCCTCAGATTATTTCCGTTGCCCAAGAGGACAACTTGGCCGGGAAATGGTGTAGCTTGTCGATGTGCTTCACAAATTTTTAGCTGTCCGCGCCCGTTGCCTCAACTGGCGTTCCGAGTAGCTTACAGAACAGATCGAGCGCTGCTACTTTTCCTTCTTCCACGTTTGCTGTTCAGGCCTGTTCCGCCATCGCGTGAATCCAGTTGTCCAAGAACTGACATCACTTCATCCGTTTCAGGTAGGCCACTTCCCAATAGACGGCGGATGCGAACCACGGACACAAATGACTTCTGATACAGATCTGCTCACCTTAAAACACAGCTTTGCGTCTCGACTGCCGGCTAAAGCGTTGAATGTGACAGCCATCGTCCCCCTCTCTGTGTCACCATAACAGAATGCCTTCGTACCACCTCAGGTACTGCCTTCGTCCTGCTCTTGGCCAAACACCGCAGAACTTTACTCTCGTTCGATCGTCCTTCACTTCGATCTTCTTCACCATGCTTTCAAAATGAAGGAACTTTTGAATGGCTGTAGTCAGAGAATTTTCCTTCGCTTGGCCGGTCATGAAGCTAGTCTGTTGGCAGAAGGCGGTTCGATTAACAAGGACTAGTGCAAAAACAGTTAGATCCCTGGTTAACAAGAACGAAAATAGTCATTTGCATGTTTGTAATCTCCTACTGCCCGGACCTTGTTTCGGTTACAGTCCTTATCTCTGGACGTCGAAAATTATATTTACTGTATTACTCAATGGTAGCTCATCGCAATACGATACCCTACCAGTGCTACCATATCCCCAACTGCACATCTAAGTAATAGGGAATTTAGTTAAAAACGAGCAACACTGAGAACCTTTCCATTTTAGATGCATCCCCAGCAATCGGAATGACCGTGGTTTACCTGGAAGTGGACCGCGGCCTCAATTGATATTGCGTGTCACAGTGCGATCACACCGTTAAGACCTTAAAACCAAACCACGAGTTTCTAGCCACTCACATTGCTTTCGACGTTCAGTAGCCTAGTGGTCAGGGTGTCAGCAGCCGACCTCAACGTCCCTGCTCCGACTGTCCCTACTTGAAGAGTCCAAAGTTAGACCAAGGTGGTCGTGGAGTACAGTGATAAGAACGAACAACACGGAAAATTCTTCAATTTAGATACGGTCTAAGTAATCGGAATGACCGAGGTTTACATCATGCCAAATCATGACCGAAGTTGCGATTGCGTGTCGTAGTCCAACCAAAAGTCGGGTGCTCCAAAACACGACAGGGAACATGGATCGCGGTTTGCTCCTGCAACTTCAGATCGGCTAAGCGTGTCTGTGTAGAATGTTGCTGGTGACCTGCACGACTGTTGAGGAGTTGGTTGGGAAACCCAACGCCTGACCCATTGCAGTTGCGATCGTAAACTCATGATCGAGAATGTGAATAAGGATGAGAGACATGCACCGCAACTTTGTGTGATCACCGGTTCCATATATGCGCTATGAACGTTTCATTGCATGATAAATGTTAATTTAATTGTCACCGTTTTACTCTTGATTTTAGTTCTACCTCATATTTGCTTTGCAGCCCCGCTCGGCTGAAGACATCGACGCTATAAGAAAAACTGTCCCGACAGCCCTTCACGACTGGTTCACCGAACGACCATGGGGAAAAAACAAATTGGGCAGTTTGCTTGGCGAGGCCGCAAAGATGGCCGGACTACCTGTGATATGTCTGCGCAAACAGCGGGCGCGTATACACACACCAGAGAGCAATTCCGCTTTTGCAGCGGATGCGCGTAAAGTCGGCGCATCCGCACTATCTTCTAGTCAAAACCTATCTACAACTGTACTTTCGAACGATCCAGCTGATCTGACAACCCGGTCAATATGCAGCTCATCCTTCTCCTCACGAAATGAGGATCGGCCGAAGAACGACGTGAAGCGGCGACGCATGTCTCATCCTCAGATGTCTGGAACTTTCACACACGTTGCACAACCTTCAGAAACTTACGTGAGTCCGGTTACATTTGTTGATGAATTTACACATCCGGTTAAGTCAACGCGATGGATTGACCCTGCCTTCTCGATTGGTCCAACTAAACGTAAGGGGAGAGCACAAATGACTCGCGGTAGGAGCAGGGATTAAGTATAGAAGGATAGAAGGATTATCGAAGAGGAAGGATTATCAAGGGGGAGGGGCGTAAGAACAGACTCTGATTGACAAGGATAATTTCTTTCTGATTAGCTGGCCAAAAACTGGAACGTTTCGTGTTTAGCTTGTTAAAAACGTACAACATTTTGCATAGTTTCGCTCTGCTTTTCTTACTGATCATGGGTTACATTTTCCCGAAATTTGAAAAAACTGTTACTATGCTACTAATGTAAGGCTAGTTATAGTTACAGTAAAGCAATTTGCTCGCGTATGGCCACTAGAGTTTGATTTCCGGTCGCACACGCGACCTAAAGTGCAGCAAATCTTCACTACCTTGCGCATACCCACAAATAGAAAGCATAACGTACAACTGGTAGTTGAGACTGAGCTGTCGTATATGAAGGAAAAATACATACATCGGACAAACAAAGCATATTTGTGATATTGCACAGCGGAATATTCCAGACCCCTTCTCTCCATTGCTTTCCATAACAACATGCAGTGCCTGCAAATGAAGGTAATATGGAAACCGTTATGCAATAACCAACTTCCGCAGTGGACCTTTTCTCTGAGAACCTTTTCTTTCGGCTTCTTGCGACGCAAAGAGCGCAGGCATGCCTTTACGCAATCAGTGGTCTGCTTATCCATCGTATTGTCACTTCAACGTTGAGGGACAACGACTACAGAGAGGTGATAAAAGTAAGCCTAGACTCACCATGAATGATAACGTTAATAGCAGTTCTTTTGAAAACGAATGCATGTCCAGCGTCTGCGTAGTGAATTGCTTGGGCGACGGACATGGTCATATTGCGCTCCACTATAGATCGGACAAAGTTCATAATGTTAATCTGGCTTACCAGTTGCTTTCTTGCACTCTCATTCGAAAGGGTAGGCTCGAAACTCTAGGGTATCCATCGATGTAACTGGCAAGGGTGGGCTAGTGTGGAAAAGTGAGAAAAACGTTTGTGAACTATTCGCCCAGTCGGTGAATGCGCTTCATAGGGCTATCATTTCCCCACGAATGAGTCATGGTTACTTTGCTATAGAGGATACATATGACAGCGAAGTATAAATGTCATACATTGTTTCTGCTTGACGCGACTCTACGTCTAACATTTCACTCTAACATGCGCGTCCTCTTTCAGTTATATAAATCTGAACACAACGCTTACCTTCTGGCACACATGATTACTGCGAGATGGAAAGTTAGACCAGTCAACTTGTTTGGGCATGACAGAAGTGTACATCTTTGGTGCAGGGTGCATGCACCTCTTGAATGTGGTGGACTGGTGTTCTTTTGAGCTGGTGATAACAGTTAGACGTTAAAAACCAAGGGGGGACTATTGAGTGCGCACATACATGGGTCGTTTTGCTGTAGGTCCCATTGGCGGCGTGTCGTCGGCTGGCGGAAGTAACCCTTTCTTGTAGTCTCTCTGCAACTCCCGCGCTTGCTGGAAATAGGCTGAACCAAATTTGACATCAAATCTCCATACTTGTACGAGCCATAACTACAACCGGAGCGAGTGTTGCATCCGAGTCGGGTTACATGTGCTTCTCCAAAGCAGCGCAGTTCATGTAGCCAGAGGTACGGAGAGAATCTGCGCAAAGTGTCCGCCTTCACGTAATCAAGGGCCGCTGATGGCCATGATGGCATTTTCACGGTCCAAGATACGCACAGCACAATAGCTGTGGAGTGACATTACCTCTGAAATGGATAACGAGTGATAGTTAATGCTTGTCTGTGGTAGGGGTACTATAACACGGCTTTGGTGAAGTGGACAGAAAAAGCATTTGCAGGGAATATGGAAAACAGTAAATGTGTACACAATGTTCGATAGGTTGTTAGCAACGAAAATGAGTGCATCAGAAGACGCAGTGTTGTGGCGGTAAAGGTCCCTCAGCGCACCAAGGCTTCAACATCTAATAGGAGGTTGTTTGGCGGCATCCGGTTCCGGATTTGCCTGTCACTGCGGCCTCCATAGTACAGCCACAGGAAGCCTGCGCCTACTGAGGGACCATGGGTGCCTTGCGCTGCACCACCCACAGCTCTATCCATACACCCCATATCCAGTGTAAACCTAAAAGAATAAGACCGGGAGGCATGTGGATAGAAGCCAGGTTTCATGAACGGGACCGTCCCACATTCTTTCAACAAACAGAGCGGAAACATTGCTGCCTATTTGGAAAATCATGCGTACACAAGCCGGTGGCTGAGCCGTAGCCCGTTCCACACTGGATGCATGGAACCACTTTGTGCCTAGCACGGTCACAAGGACCGTGCACCCCGTCCCCTCCAGCAACGACCAATTGTCTCCTGGAGTCAGTGTAATCGAGGCGCAGAATAGTAGACAGATATGCACCCTGTCAACATACACATCAAGCGCAGCCACACCGGGGATGTCAAACAACAACCAATCACTTGAGATGACAGTATCAAATAAAATGAACCGAATAAAGCATACCGATATCCTCACATAATTCTCCGCTAAATTACCATATGATATAGATGGGTTATCAACAAATCCGCGATAAATTCAAGTGATCAGAAAAAGAGATCAAAAATGTGCAACAAACGCGAAAAAATTAACGAAGTTAACCACTTTTCGTTTAAGCGATGTGTGGAAGTAAATAGAAGATTATTCAGGTAGACACTAAACTGAGACAATAACATAAGCATTAAAACAATATGACAGGCGAATCACCTAGAATAAACTCAGTATGCGAGCACACGGTTAGTAAATCGAATGGAAGCGAATGCAGCGTACCTACCAACGCTGCGCCGGTTCTGCTTACATTCTAAACAGCCCTGGTCATCGTTTCGATGCTGGTTCCGAGTGGCCACGCTCGTAGCTCACTAGACCTACCTGACTCAGGCATTCGCGATTGCATGTGCTATAGTACCGTGCGCTCGACCTCGACGGTGTACACTCCGTCAGCGCCTGTCGCTTCCGCACCTGCCGCTTCTTCTCCGCACACGCGAGGGTTTTCTTCTGCACATCAGCAACTGCCTTCATGATCAGATCGCGCCATGTACGCCGATCAATCGCCTTCGATTCCCAACACCTGAAATCAACATTAGAACATGATAAGCTCATCTTGATCGTGTCCTGGTAACGCAGCTTCGGTTTCCCCACATGCTGCTTCCCCATACTCATTTGATCATATAACAGCTGCTTCGGTATCCTCGTCAACCGAGCCACCTCAGGTGTCGCAGCGAAAGTATGCGGTCCATTGCATACATTCGACTTCGGCGCAACACCGTGTCTGCAACTTTCGCACGAACCGATGGGCAGGATCCATCGCAGACACTGTTAATGAAATCGCTCGAGATATCTCACATCTCACCGGTACATCGTCCACCTTTCGATGCTATATGGAAGAACGGACAGCACCATGAACTTGTAGACCATAAGCTTCGTGTCAACGGTAAGCTAATGGTTGTTCCACAATCGGTACTTTAGCTTCTCGAATGTCGCCGCTGCCTTCGAGGCGCGGATACAAAACTCACTATGTAGCTGGTGGTCAGTGGACATCACACTCCCAAGGTAGCAGAAGCGGAGAGTGATTACTAATACTTCAGCACCAACGCTGATTCGAGGCAATACTGCAGATTGCATCTTCAGTGAAGGCTGAAAGAGACAGACAGTTTTGCTTGTGTTGATGGTGAGCCAGAATTTGGCCGCTGTCGAAGCCAGAGCACTAGTCATGTGCTGCAAAATATCCGCGCTCTGTGCAAACAACACACAGTCGTCAGCGAAGAGCAACACACAGATAGTTGTCTCACTGGCTAGGGTTCTCTCCCCGAAACGACGGATGTTCAGCAACCCATCATCAATACGGTGCCTCACACGAACACCATAAGCATAAGCCGCATCAAAGGCACGCGATCTCATAGCATGAAGATAAATATTAAACCAAGCAGAAGCTAAGACACAGCCTTGCTTCATATTAGTGCTGCTTTACTCGTGACTGATTGCAATATCAGAAGGCTAGGCGCCAATATAAATGATAATAATGTACAGACAATAATGATATATACCAGACAGAGAAACTTATCTAATGTGCTTGCACGATAGCCGTAACTCCCATTGATTGCAGTGCGTTGTGACTGGGTGCATTGGCTTGAGCACGTGAGCGCATGATATAAATGTGTGAAATGATAGTACAACCAAGAAGATGCGAAGAAAAATCATGTATGTGTGGAATGGGGTACCTATCAGGAATGGTGATGCGGTTAAGTGCTTTGCAGTCTCCATAAGGTCTCCAATCGGATGCTGCGTTCTTTGCTACCATATGCAGCGGTGATGCCCACATGCTTTGAGATGATCGAATTATTCCTAACTGGAGCATGTGTTGAAACTCATCCTTAGCTGTTTTCAGTCTTTCGGGATGTAGTCGTCGTGGACGGGGGAAAACTGGAATATCACTGGTGGTGATGTGGTGACATACAGAATGTGTGGTATTCGGCCGATGAAAGTTTGATTTTAATAGATCTGGAAATCAATGAAGGAGCTTGTAGTATAGAGAAGAGTTTTGTGACACAAGATTTATAGGACAAATCGATGGTGTACACACTGTGTTACCAGGAACGGAAAGCTGTGTGTTGACATCTAGCAAACGCTGACTTCGTCGATGCACTAGCAAGTCGCAATATGTCAGGAAATCCGCTCCTAATATGGGTTAATGTACGTCTGCGACTATGAATATTCAGCTGAATTGTCGTCCTAGACCTAGCCTGTGTAGTGAGGTTCGTTGACCGTAAGTTTTAATACTGGTCCCATTAGCTGCTGTTAAGCACATCGAGGATGGAGTGCGGTTAACAAAAGAGCCGGTTGGAGGTATTGCGCTGATGTCAGCAC